TCATTTTCACTGTTTTTTTCTTTTGGGTGGGGGTTTATTCTTTTTTGTTTTGTTTATGTTAACTCTGATGGCATGAGCAGCTCTTTGAAAGCTAGCAAGACATGTGATGGAAGCCATTTTGTATTTACTACTAGCTTGTTTGCAGGTTCTTTATTGCATTCACTGTTTTGCTTTTATTGTTTTTATTCTATCCTGTTCTGTTCCATTTTTAATATGTCCAAAGGTGGTATCTGCGGCTATTTTGAAGGCAACAAAGGCACTATGGTAACTACTGTTGATTTCAAAAGGTTTGGAAGTCCTGCATCACTTATTTTGCTTTATTTTGATTGATTTTATTGTTTCTTTTCCTCTTTAAAATAAAAAAAATAGCTAAGATGAATTATACTACTAATTCTATTTGTTCTTGGAAAAGAACAGTTAATATTCATATGACTGGGTCAATTTTGCATGACTATATCTGGTAATCCAACAACTCTTTTGAAGACATCAATATGCAATATTCTAACCTTGTTAAACTCCTAGCATCTTGTTTTGAAAACCGATATTGTTATTGTTTTGGGTTTTTGTTGTTCTTGTAGCTGTTTGTATGTCTCTTGTTGTTTCTCTTTTCTGTGTTTTCTTCTCTTTAAAATAAAATAAAGAAATGGATCAAAGGTTAAATGTGAAGACAAAAACAACCTCCTGGAAGATAAAGTGGGTAAAACCCTTGAAGGCGCAGGCAAGAACTTTCTGAACAGAATCCCAATGACACAGGAAACAGTACTGAGAATCAACTAATGGAATCATATCAGATTAAAAGGCCTCTGCACAGCAAAAGAAACAACCTAAAGAATGGAAAAAAATATTTGCCAGCTATTTCTCAGATAGAAGATTAACCTCTAGAATATATAAAGAACTAAAAAAAAATTAGACCCTCGAAAATGAAAGAATCAATCAAAAAAAAAGGAACTAAAATTAACAGACATTTCTTAGTAGTAGTATACAAATGGCCAATAAATGCATGAAAAAATGTTCAACATTGCTGGCCACTGGAGAAATTCAAATTAAAACAACACTGAAACACCACCTTACTATAGAAAAAATAGTTATCATCAAGAAATCAAATAACAAAGGCTGGCAAGGCGGCAGGGAAAAAGGAATTCTTTTACATTGTTGATGGGAAAGTAAACTAGTACAACCACTATGGAAACCAGTATAGAAATTCCATCCCATCCATCTTATCCCATTTCTAGGTATCTTCCCCAAAGAGTTAAAGTCATCATATATTACAGTGATACATGCACACCCATGTTAATAGCATCACAATTTTATAACTGGAAATTTTGGAAGCAACCAATATGTCCATTAAGACATGATTGGATAAAGAAAATGTGGTATTTATATACAATGTAGTATGACTGCCATAAAGAAGGATAAACTTGAGGCACAGGCAAAGGGATGAACCTTGAAAGCATAATATTAACTGAAATAGATCAGACACAGAAGCTTAAATATTGAATGGTTTCTTTTATATGAGAAACCCAACATAAATAAAGAACAAAATAACAGATAAATAATAGAAGGTAGGGAATTCTTTTCAAATGGGAAAAGGAACAAGAGATGGAGAGAGGAGGAGTGGAGAGGAGGGAAAGAGGATGGGGAAAAATGGAAACATAGCTTTTCAAATGGGGAAGAAACCAAGAGTTGGAAGGAGCAGGCAGGAATGGCAGGGTAGGAGACAAAAAATAAAATTATGATATGTCTTACACACATATCAATTCCCCACCATAGATGTGATCATTATGTACCACAAACACGTGCTAAGAAAAAATAAATTTACAAATATAAGACAGAAACACACAGAGGTATATCCAATGATATGTTTTGAAAAGAAAATTAAAACATACACCGAAAGAATGAAAGAAAGGAAAGGAAAGGAAAGGAAAGGAAGGAAGGAAGGAAGGAAGGAAGGAAGAAAGAAAGAAAGAAAGAAAGAAAGAAAGAAAGAAAGAAAGAAAGAAAGAAAGAAGAGAGAGAGAGAAAGAAAGAGAGAAAGAAAGAAAAAACAAAACAAGACCAGACCAAGAGCTTGGGTTGAAGAGTGGGGGAAGGCGTTACAGGCTTGCTCAAAGAAACTGCGCGGCCAGGGCTGAGCAAGCCTGAGGGTCATTTAGCAAAAGTGAAGCATGCAAGTGAATAAAGGAAGCTGTGGGAGCTGGGAGAATAAAGACAACTGAATTTAGAAAAGCAGGTAGAGGAAGGTCATAAAGGGTTTCATGCCATGCTAAGGAGTTTGGAGTTTGCCTTCTGGACAGACATTTCTTTCCCTCACAGAATTTCATCAAGGTTCTAATAAAATTTTTAGAATGAATCTACACATTCCAAAGGATTCCAAGAACCTTCAAGTTCTGACGTGGACTTCCACTCCTCTACTGGTTCTTTCACTCTAAGATACTTCTATGTCCTCGTCTCTTCCACTTGCAATTCCACGGCCCTCATCAGCTAATTTTCCTCTCTTCTCCCAGAAAATACAATTTCCTTTCTTCTTCCAGAAATACAATTACAATGATTTCCGGCCAGTTTATATTCCCCTGCCATTTGCACATGACTCGTTCATATTTATTCATACAGATTGATGGCTTATTTACTGTATGCTAGTGGGAAAAGATGATGAGCAAAAATACAGTCAGTTTGTTCCTTCACAGTAGAATGGCTGTTTTAAAAACAGAAACAAAAACCCCAGGAAACAAGTACCGGCAAGAATGTGGAAAAATTAGAATCTTGTGTACTGCTGATGGGAATGTAAAATGGTATGACCACTATGGAAAATAGTGTAGCAGTTCCTCAAAAATTAAAAACAAAATTACAACATAATACAGCAAACTCCCTTTCTGGGGATGTACTCAAAAGAACTAAATGCAGGGTTCTGAAGAGATGTTAACACAGCCATTTTTACAATAGCATTACTCACAATAGCCAAATCCCCAACATAGATAAACAAAACACGGCATATAGCTACAATGGAATATTATGCACCCCTAACAGGAAAGAACTTCTAAGCATATTACAGAATGGATGAACTTTACTGATGATAAATAAGTGAAATAAGCAGTCATACAAGGATAAATTCTGTATAATTCATTTAAGATTCCTAACGTGGTCAAGTTCATAAAGACCAAAAGTAGAATAGTAGTTGCCAGGGAGAAATGAGAAGTAGCAATTATTTGATGGATACAGATTTTCAGTTTGGGAAGATGAAGAAAGCTTCAGACACGTATTATAGTGACAGATACACAACAACGTGAATGTAAATGCCACTGAACTATATACCTAAAATGGTTAGATTGGTAAATTGTGTTAGGTATAATTACAACAAAGTCAAAAAAAAAATATGGCTAGTCTCGGTCCTTATATAGGACACAACTGATTAAGGGAAATAGGCAAAAAATCATCAAGGAAAAAAGAAGTAGAAAAGGGAAGCACAGTGGGACACACCTATAATAACACTATTCTAAGAGGCTGAGGCAAGAGGGTCATAAGTTTGAGCCCAACCTGGGCAACTTAGAGACTTAGTGAGACCCTGTTTCAAAATAAAGTGAGAAACAGCTGGGGGTCGTTCAGAATGAAGCTTCTGGGTGCAAATCTCAATACTCTCCCCCCAAAGGGGCTGCTATGGCACAAGAGAATACTCGTCCACTTTAGGAAGGTCAGGGAAGACTCTCACAGATATACAGCTGCCATATAGTACATAATGTTCCTTTTTCAGTCATCAATTTTCTTACTCGACTCTTAAAATTGTTGAAATAGGCTCATATTCTCTCTCTCTCTCTCTCAAGGGATTTTTCATTTGTTTCTACGCCACTATTATTTTCTGGTTTTCTTTTTACTTCTCTGGTTGCTCCCTTTCACTGTGCTTCATTATTCACGAGGTCATCTTTCTCCATCTCCTTTACTAAGTCATACCCTTGTCTCCATTCTCATTCTAACTTCAGTTCACGCCTTTTCCATTTTCAGCATGGAACAGAACTTTTAACAGCTTCCTAGCAAGTCACAAACACACACCACCTATCACTCAATTCTATGCATGGTGATTTCAACAAAATATAATACAGACTATACCGCATCTTCCTTAAACTGCTTTGATGGCTCCCTTGAAAGGTTCCTTTTTTAAAGAAAGGGCTTCCTTACTGAGATATAACCCACAGAATATAAAATTCACCCTTTAAAAGCATACATTCCCTTGGATTTTAATATATTCAGAGTTATGCAATTATCACTGTTCCTTAAGAACATTTTTATCAGCCCACAAAAAACTCAACACCCATTAGTAGTCATTTCCATTCTTAGTTTTTCTGTCTCCTTGAATTAAACTACTTTCTGTCTCTGGATTTGCTTATTCTGACACAGAAATGGAAGTCATATGATATACAGGGTCTTTTGTGTCTGACTTGTTTCTCTTAGCACGTTTTCTCAAGATTCATCTATGTTGTAATATGCTTTAATGCCAAATAATAGTCCATTATTTTTTGTTTACGAATTCACTAGTAAATAGACATTTGAGTTGTTTCTACTTTTTGGATACTGTAAATAATGCTGTTGTAAACACTATAAACAAGTTTTTATATGAGCATACTTTTCATTTCTCTTACATTTATACGTAAGAGTGTGATGAAGCAAAAGAAAACTATGCTTATTATTTTTAGGAACTGTTTGCCTTCCCTTAGAGGTCTGTAAAGTGTAGGGGGTCGTGGGATTCCCAAAACTCCTCATGCATAAGTGGAACGATCAGTCTTGCTCCAAGTCTAGAGGAACAGTGGTCAGAGTAGACAGACGTAGATACAAATTCAATCAATTCTATGCAGTGTAAGATTTAACATTCTTTTATATGAGAAACCCAACATAAATAAAGAACAAAATAACAGTTTTTAATGCAGTGGCTGAAATAAGATACATTACTATAAATGTGTCTCTAACAAAAAGGCTGATAGACAAAAGACTTAAAAAAAAAATGTCACACTCACTTGAGTGGACCTCCGAGTCTGTCGAGCTTGTCTGGAGCGTGCCTTCCGTAAAGACTCGGCTTCCTCATCCCGTACAGGAGTCAGATAGGACCTGCAGAGAAATCAAAGTAACAGTGGGAGGAAGACCTGTGCTACACATACTTGATGAATGAGAAGGTACTTTCATGTATTAAAGGGATTGCTATACTTTAAGAATGAACAGAGGCAAAGTCAAAATGCAGGAATGCTATCTGCCATCAATATAAACTATAGAAATCAAGACATTATTTATGTAGATTCACGTCATCTGCAAAGGAGAATTTTAGTTCTTTCCCTAACTTTACATTTTTCATTTCATCTGTGTTAATGCTTTGTCTAGAAATTCTAGGTCATGTAGAAAGGGAACAGTGTTAGTAACTCTCCGGGATCTGTTCCTGCATCCAGAAATACTTTCAGCATTATACCATTAAGTATGATGTCTACTGTAAGATTTCCTAGATATCACCCATAGAATTAAAGTAATTCACTTCTGTTATAGTCAGGTTTTCCAAGGAAAAAGATTTAATACAGGACATATAATATACAGATTATTTTATAATATTCACCTAAAGAGTCAAATGTATGAAAGATCTGTCCATATACTACAGACTCAGAGAATCCAAAATCAACAACACCATCTTTCCCTTTAATTCTCTTTCATTGCTGGTGGCAACAGTCTTCAGGTGGGCCTTTCACACCCAGCGCAGTGCTGATTCAGTCCAGCCAGATGTGACAAGTTGACTGCCACTTGTCAATCCAGTGCAACTTCCATTCCTACAGCACACAGGCTAAGAGGATTCTGCAGTTGTTCTTGTTTGTTTTGTAATCATAGTGTATGTTCAACTTTATCTTACGTGTTTTTCCCCCAAATAGATTATTTTTTGTTAATATGGTGAGTCATATTAATTTTTATTAAAAATCTTTATTATATATTTTCAAGACACATAGTAACTTTACACATACATGGGTATAGTGTGGCATTTCAATACATGTATAAAATGCATAATAATCAGATCCAAGTAATGGTATACATATATCACCTCGGTCACGTATCATTTCTTTGTGTGGGGAATGTTCAAAAAGCTCTATACTAGCTATTTTAAGGCACTGGACAAATTCTGAATGATAGAACAATGAATTACTAGAGTAAGTTAAACTTGATTAAGGTTTTATTCTCTCAGTTCTGAGAATCTAACCTAGGGTTATGCAAATGTAAGGCAAGCTTCTGCCACTCAGCTATCCCCCACCCGAGATGTAGATTTTAAAATGTAAATATACTTTTTATGTAGTGTCAGTATTCAGTTTAGGATCTTTTTTTAAAAATTGGTGTATGGGGCTGGGGATTTAGCTCAGCGGCATAAGCACCTGCCTTGCAAGCAGGCAGTCGTGAGTTCGATCCCCGGTACCGATAAAAAGGAAAAAGACAAAAAAAAAAAAAAAAAAATTGGTGTATGTTTGTGATACACAGTATTTACATTTGTTTTGAGAAACTGGCGCACACACATATTGTATGTCCATCATTTTTTATGTCTGTCCCCCTGCTCCTCCACACTCCTCTAGCTTAGGACTTTTATATCCATGCTGGTGAAAGAAAGTGGCCTTATAATTTTCTCTTCTTATAGTACAGTGGTCAGCTTTGTTAAAGATGGTTATATCTATTTCATGGGAAATAGATTCTACTGTTTCTTTTCTGTACGAATATATGTAAGATTTAGGATATTTCCTCCTTAAAAGGTAAGAAAAGTCCCCCCCAAAAAGCCATTTGGTTTAGAGTGTTCTTTGTAGGAAAGTTTTAAATAAAAGATTCAAGTTATTTTTAATGGAATTATGTTTATGTATATTTTCTGTTCTGTCAATATTTGTTTTCTAAGAAACTTTCCATTTCATTTGTTTTTTCAATTAAAAATTGAAATTTTTATGAAATATAAAATTGTTCATGGTACCTTAATTATATATTCTAATTTCTGTAGTAATGGCTACCAATATTTTGGGTCTTGTCTAATACTTTTTTATTAGTACATGTTTGCAGGACATAACAATCATGATTATCATGGAGAGTTGATAAATGTACATGAGACATCTTAATTCTTTCTTTCTTTCTTAAATCCTTTACACACTCCTCCCTCCTTGTTCCTTCTAACTCTTGATTCTCCTCGCATTTGCAAAAGCTCTATTTTTATCATTTTTTCCCTTTCAATTCCTCTCCCCCAAAAATCTCCTTTCCTTCTGTTCCCTCACCCCACCTTCCATTTTATTCCCCAAAGAGCTTTTGTTTATGTAGAAGTATATCTGTTAGTATTCACTTTATTAAAAGTTTAATATCTCATTGTACATGTAACATCAATAACTGTTTCTAAGAAAAACACTTTTTTCCAAAATAAAACATTAAGAAGAGTGACATGCTTTACATTTTTGTCAATTCCCTTTAATGTTGGCTTAGAAGAGAGCTAGATTCTTATATATACTTCTGCAATCAATATGATGTGCTAGCTAAAATATATAAATATCTGGCTTACACAGATATGGAGTACTATGATAGTTTTTTCATATAATTGTGAATAGTCTTTGATACTATACCAAAAACACTAACCAATTGTATTGTGGAATGTAAACAATATTAATAGACTTTTCATATTCTGTTATGTTAATACCCATTGGTCTACACTGCATTTTTAATGTATTTCCTTACCCATCCATGATTTTAGGACGTTATGTCTTCATTAGTCATTTTAAAAATACTACAATACCTGGTTATGGAAAACTTCCCAATATTGACACCTCTCATAATATTTCATATTAAAAATACATCCTTTAATATTGCCTTTGATCTTAGAACTGTCTTTACTGGGAAACTGTCAATACCACTTAGTGACAAGTATACATTTTCTAAAATTTCAACTTTTGCTTGAAAATTTAAATTTCACAATAGACAACAAATACTTGGGAGGCTCACTTTGTTCATTCGCAAGAAAATATCTGTCCAGTACCCCAGTCTAAATAACCACTGCTTGGCCATTAGTCATGGAACACCTTCTCTCCAATTATTCCATGAAAAAGGCTAGTTCCTCTCTTTATCTGGAACTCAAATCACATATGTTAGGACCTATTAGTCACAGTCCACTATGCTTTCTCTGTGTTGTCCATCCTTTTACTGCTCTGAGCTTCATTCTGGGTATTTTCAACTACACAATCTTTCAGTAATATTCTCTTTAGTAGGTCTTTTTATTTGAGTCTTCTTAATACACTGCAGTTCTCAATGAAATCCTTCATCTTATATATTCTTGAACATATTAATCATAATTAAAGTCTATGTGTCTGATAATATCTGAATCTATATTGTCTTTTAAAAAAATTTTAGTAAGTCAATCTTATTTCCTAGCATGTCTGGTAATTTTGGAATTAATATCAGATGCATTTGAGAAAATGTAAGTGATAATTTGTGGCTCTGGAAGATGTCATCTTCCTTCAGAAAGAATATTCTTTTCCTCAAGAAGGTAGGCTAAGGAAGTGGCTTGCACTTGCATCAGAATCACTTAGAAGACTTGTGACAAACTGGTAGGTGAAGGTCTCCTTCAGTAGGTTTGGAGTGGGAATCTAAGAATCTGTGATTCTAATTATATCTCAGCAGATGACGCTGATCTGGAGACCACAATTTGAGAACTTCAATGCTGAGGCAAATGACCTGAATCCATTTTGAGACTATGGTGATTAGAAGATATGCTTCCACTTTTACAGCGTTGGTCTATTTTGGGTAAATCCATAGGGGTCAGTCTTGCAGTGGCCTCAGATGAGTCTGGGGTGCCCACTAGTGCCCTTTTTTCTAAATTCTAACTTTTGTTTCCTCAGTACCATGAGTTGAAAATGAAAATCTTGTCCAATTTTTTAGCCTCACAGCCATTGTTTCACTGACTTCAAGGGGAAATACACAGTTTCTCCAGGTATTTGCAGAGTTTGTCTAAAATAAAATATGAATAATATTTGTTTTATGCCTCAACCAGGCAGTGTCAATTTTCCTTCAAAGCACATTAGGAAGTTGGAATTCTGATGCCTGAAGCTGAATTTGGTAGATTTAAGTCTTAATATATTGCTTTCCTCCAAGAGAACTAAAAAGAGTAAGTCCTCAAACTTGCAAAATGATAGTCCAGATATTGGAAGTGGTGACCAGACTGAGGACTAAGTTTCTATGAAGTTCTGGCTGGGTTACCGGTTACATGTCATTTATAACTGCAAAACATATATACATATATACATATATCACACACACATACACAAAGTATCACTATTATACTTAATTCTTGATGGCTATCTCTTTTTAGCATATATACAGACACCACAATGAGGCCAGGTATGGTGGCACATACTTGTAACCCCAGCACTTGGGAGGCTCAGGAAGGAAGACTGTCATGAATTTGAGGCCTGCCTGGAGTACTTACTGAGTTCAAGGCCAGCTTGCAGTATACAGCGAGATCCTGTCTTAAAAAAAAAAAAAAAAAGCCACACTGAAAGAGCAAGCTTCCAACTCCCTTGCCCTCCCTCTTACTGAAAGAGAGAAACAGCTATAAAAATAAGATCAAGGGCCGGGGATTTAGCTCAGTGGCACAGCGCCTGCCTGGCAAGTGCGAGGTCATGAGTTCGATTCCTGGTACCAAAAATAAAAATGGATAAATAAATAGCATCAAGGGTTTACCTGGCTTGAATTCTTATACTTGAAACCATATATATTTTTAATAGAAAAAAACAGATAAAAAATATGAAATAAAAATCAACTGAAATTCCACATGAGGATAACCCCATTTTTATTTTCCTATATGTAAGTCTAGGTTTTATGTGTATACATGTATGTAGTCATACAGTTTTTAGAATATTTTCTATATTACTTTGTAATGTGTGTCTATTTATAAGGTTTTTACGATTTAGAAAAAATTTCTATAGAAACAAAAGCCAGAAACTCCAGGACTTACATTGTAAATGTTTTTGAGGAAGGAAAAACATGTTCATTTACTTCCCTTTACCTTGATGGTTATTCCAGGGCTCACAGAAGTGATGTACCTAACTTAATGATTGCCTTGAGGT